AAAAGGGTCCCCCCAAACGATGCCAACGTAGCTGTATTGGTAATTCTTTAAATAATTAGTTTTAATTAAAATTAATTTTTATTAATTATAATAAAATTATTGTATTGTCATCCAAAATGATCGTGTACATAAAATTTCAACTCAAAGAAGCGCTTTAAAATGTATTTTACGAACGATTAAAAATTCCACCTAGATAAATAAACAAACAAGCAAATAAATATATAGAGAGTGTGAGTTAACAGTAGGAATTGAAAAATGGATTCTTATTTCTAAAATAAATTTGTAATTAAATTTAATTTACCATTTAAAGACGCAGATTGAATGTTTGTTTTTTCGTCGCCCTCAGAAGCTAAGAGCGATGACCACTGGCGATTGGTCTTGTCATTTTAAACCGCTGTCAAGAGACGGGGGCGTCTTAAAACATGGGCCAACTGGGCCCAGGCCCAGGGCCTCGTTTCGTTCTCGACTAAACTTTAATAAGATCAACGGTAAAATGTTATTTCCAGTTGTATTCTGCAAAAAACTCGGAATTTTGGATGATATGTCAATTAGCTACATGTGATGACCGTCGTCCACGTACAAGCCTAGGTCTACCACCCTATACCCTCATTACTCATTCAGTCAAAAAGCGGCAGCCGGTCAAGCCGGTTTGTGCCATCGTAAGTCATGCACATTTATTTGTTTCGGGTTATTGTTTGTACGAGTATTTGACAACATATGCTATATGTACTGTCTACTTTTAAGACACATAGGGGGTGTCTGCATTTGTGTAGGGGCATGGCCGGCTCTAGCACTTTTTCCACCCCGGACAAAAATGGAAAAGGCCTCCCCCCTCTTACTCCAAAACGAAAAATTATAATTAAAAAAAGATTAATTATTCAGGTGGACGCAAACCAATAAAACTTCAATAATTCTTGTGATCACAAAAAGGCAGCATAACAATATATATATATATATATTTAAGTGTTAAAAAATGTAAAATCGTCCATTTCAGCCGGCCAATTTCTTCGAAAAAGAGTCTACTGATCGTGGAGATCACAAGCGTTTATTTTAATCTATAGTAACTACACTCAAGACTGAAATAAAACATCGCCTGTGGCTTTCTATCTAAAAAGAATCTCTTATGAACTCTGTCCCCTTTTGAATTGTTGATGTCGGACATCGTATGGGTAAAAGGAATGTCCGTTGTGATCCTACTCCTGGCTTGGAGGAAAGTTACTAGTGAAACATATCAAATGTCATTATGTAACTTTCCTTGAATCCTTGGAGTTTCAATGTAAAAAAGCAACTTGCATTAAACATGCAGAATACAAAAAAGGGAAATAAGATACTTTAAATAAAATACCAAATTCACACCTAATAATATTTCAGACAGTATATAGAATTTTTTGTAACAGAAAAAAATAGTTTCCAAATTCGATCCAAATGCCACCTCGGGCAAGGGGCCGGATTGTCCGGCCCTAGAGCCGCCCCTGGTAGGGATTCAGGGCCTACTTTTGAAAAGGGGTCCAGGGCTTCAAGAAGCCTTAAGTCATCCCTGGGGACGATATCTGAGCTGGCCTCTCACTATTTTACAACCTTTTCTTTAGTGAGTGTCATGTTATATAATCTAATAAAAGCTGTTATTGCCCTACTGCAGTTGGTAAGTATTCAATTTTAACTTTTTTGTACAAATTCATTAGGGAAAAATCAAAAACGTGCCATTTTGGAACTGAATTTTTATTTTTGTTTATACCAACAACCCCGTTTCTTTTAGTTTTCATACATTTTAACCCCCCATCTTCTAATTATCAATCACCATTCCTGTGCGAATATTTTTTCAAAAATGGAGAGTAATATGTACACAACGTGCGAGCTTTTTCTGACTGCGCCGAAGGTGTGGTCGTTGGAGTCACCGCAGTGGGAAAAACCGTTGACAGAAGCATTCAGGCCAGAAAAGTCGAGTCGTCTGATCCGCGTAGAAACCCGGTTTACACAAGAATTGTGTCACTTCAAGAATTTTCAAGGATGTATGACAATATTTTTTTTCTTAATTATCACAGAAATGCATATTAAAGACGAAAAAGAGTGGAACATTACACTTATTAATGAACAAGTAATATGAAAAAAAAAATTTTAGAGTCAATTCCTCCTTAGATCAACAAAGAAAAATTTCATTTTATTTACTTTTTATTAAATAGTTACAATTATAATATAAATATGAAAATACATAGGACAGAATCACACTATTAACTGGTAAAATAGAAAACGATTTTCCATTTTATATTTGGTGTTGGACTATTTTTTTGTTTGTTGGTTGCTATTTATTCATTCGTTAAATTAAATTATTCCAGTAAAATAGCATAGTAGAAAGAAACCACATTCTCAGAAATGAGACCATCCCAGGTGGGATTCGAACCCACGACCTTTCGATTAGAAGCACGACGCGCGCGCGCGCTATCCATTGCTCTACAGGTACGCAACGAGCGATTTTTCTTTTTACATGGGGTGTTGGACTATTATTTTTGTTTGTAACTATTTATTCATTAATTAAATTTAACTAATCAATTGCCGCCTAGCCAGTATGGTGGATATGATCCTCGGCTTGCAACCGAGTGGATTCGAATCCGGAGTAAGGCATGGTTGTACCTTCTTCGGGAAAAGAAGTCGGACTTTCACCTGCAATGGATTTCCGTTTCAAATGAAAAGCAGTGGATGCCTTCTGTTATAGGCTGGGATCCACATTTGTAATAAATGATTATATTCTGTATTTGTAATAAATGATTATATTCTGTTTGTATTGTACGTGACTGTTCTTCCAGTCGCATTTCATATGTATCGCAGGATAAAAACACCCGACAATAAGAACAACAACTATTGAATTAAAATTTGAGAAAACTGTATACCATCAAGTGTCATCCACTACAGGTTTAAGAAAATGCATTTGATCTTGAGTGGGTGAATAAAAAGTATTTTATTAATGATTGAAAATTTGAACAAGATATGTAAGCAAATAAATATATACAGAGAGTTTGAATAAATATTAGGAAAAAGTTATTTTTAATCGTATACTCATGCAATTTTCGCGACTGAGAATAAAATTTCATTGCTTACCTTTTTTTAATGTATGTACATGCAGTGAATTTTTATGTTTTAAACATTATTTTTATAACAACCCGTATGAAAGAAAATAATGTAAAAAAAATGTAAAATGTGGTTTAAGCCAAGTTAGACCGAAAATCTGCCGAAGTCAAAGACTATATTTTCATCAGTTTCCTATCGTATGAGGAAAACCATAATTCCATAAAGAAATTATAGATTTTAGATCTTCATTTTTGCACCATTTGTGGAAAACAAATTTAAAAATCCAGAATTTGTTTTCATAAAAGTGAAATGACTCCATTTTAAAATAATTACATTTAAAGTAACAGGTGTCGCCCATCCGATAGAGTGGATAGTAATGCCTTTGCGGCATAGGAGCAATCTAAATATAAGTCGAACCGCAAGTCCTCTCGTGAAGCTGGTGAAAGGGAAAGAGAGGTGGGGTCCCTGACCACCCCAAGGACGTTCTCCCTTAAAATTGGGTTGGAAACGAGCCAAATCGTACTGTCACCTGTTTGGTGCTTAAAGCTAAGGCAAACGATACGCGTACAACTAGCTCCTTTCCACGGTGAATCTCGCAGGCCTTGATCTGATGTTACTGTCGATAGGGTGGCATAAGTAACAACATCCACACACGATATGTATAATTGTTTTAAACAATTCTTGTATTTGAAAGGCCAATTTCTTTTTTTAAAAAAAATTTCTGATGAATGCTTAATTTTTTAAAAAGTAATTGGGAGTAACAAACTATACATGAAACTTAGCAGAGTTAAAAATTTCTTCCCTTGAAAAAGATAATATTCAACTGAAATTTAAAGCGCTATGTCTTTTTTGGTAATTTGAATAACTGTAAAAATCGATCAGATCGGTTATTAATTGCCGTTGCATTCTGAAGCTATATTCGAGGCCTTTTGGAGACAGATCTTTTCATTATGAACCATTGTTAAATGACGAAGACGACACCTGAGCTAGCCCCCTCTCGTTTAACTTCCACACCACGCCAAGGGAGGACGTTTGAGCCTCGAGATATTTAACGTGAAGTTTCATTGTTTAATTTAATTTCACTTTATGAGTGCAATTTCATTTCGGCGGGAATTATGATTATTTATAGGACAAGTAATGAAAACATGAGGAAAAATTGTTTTCCGATGAAGAAACAAGGCAAGAGTAACGAGTAATATGTATATTTTTGCATATGCTGAAAAATTTATGCGAGAAAAATGTAACTTTTTTTATGATGTAAAAATACATAAATATGCAAAAGATTTTTTTTAAAAATTTTTTCCATGAGCTACATCCATTTTCCGGTGGATTTCTAATTTCATTTATGAAAAACAAAAATTCACGTATTTAAAGGTTAATACCAGTCGGACTCGGAATGTATTGTTTGCAGTATGTGGCGTTGAACTTTATTCAGATTCTAGAGTTTGAATAGAACAGCAGGGGATTCCTTCGCTTTTTTTCACGTTTTATTTACATTTATCATTTTTAGGTCTGCATTGTTATTTATTTTTTTTACTTATTGTTTTTGTATGTGAGTATATTATTTGTAAACTTTAATTTTTATTACGTACTTCAAAGTTATAAACTAAAGCTTTATTTTCGATCACAATTTATTTTTTGACTTCATTATAATTTCTAATTTTCCAATTAATTTCATTAATTTTCTAATTCCTACTTAGACCAACAAAGAACAATTTTATTTTAGTTACTTTTTAATAAATAATTACAATTAATATAAATACTTGTATACATGTCACAGGATCACAAAATTAAGTGACAAAATAGAAAGATATTTTCCTTTCTATATATGGTGTTGTATTACTATATTTTTGTTTATTATTTATTCATTAATTAAATTTAATTATTCCAATAAAATAGTACAGTAGAAAGAAACCACATTCTCTCAGAAATCTGACCATCCCAGGTGGGATTCGAACCCACATTTGGATTAGAAGTCCAACGCACTACTAATTGCACTACAGAGACACAACAAGCGATTTTCCTTTTTATATAGGGTGTTGGACTAGTATTTTTGTTGGTTACTTTTTATTCATTCATTAATTAATTAATATTTAAAAAAACTGTGCTACATCAATCACTACAAATTTGAAAAAATATATTTGAACTTGAATGGAGGAATATAAAGAAAGTATTTTACTAACGAGACTGAACATTTGAAGAAGATATATAAATAAATACATATACAGTCGACTCTCGATAATTCGAAGTTGGAGGGACCAATGAAAAACTTGGAATTATTATGAGTTCGAATTATCAAGAGGGTAGGAAAAAACTCTCAAAATACACGAAGAGAAGTTTTTTTCCTAACACATTTAAATTTAAAACTATGTAATAAAGCAACAATTGTACATAATTTTTTATACAATATAAAAATAAAATAGAAGTTAAAAGTCCTACATTAAAAGAATACACTTATGTCTTGAAAGCAACTATTAAAATAAGATACATACTATATATAATTAATCCGTTTTGTCGAAAAAATCTGTAATCTTTTTTTGTTTTAAGGCATTCAATCTAACTTTTTCAATAGATTTTTCTAGAACAAATGAAGCCTGTAAAATGTCTGCATCAACATGATTTTGACGGAAAAAGTTGCGTAGTTTGTTTAGTGTCACTTTAGTTTCTGACAGAATTACCGGAGTCAACTCCTCCGATTCGTCTTCATCACTTTCTGTATTATTGTGGTCCAAAGCCTCAATTTTAGTGCCAGATAGAGCTCCCCATACAGCAATATCCATGTCAACCAACACGTAGTCGTAAAACGTCAAATCTTGTTCTGGAAGAGCTTCCCAAAGGATGGTTCAGCATTAAATTCAGTGAGTGTACCAGATTCGGCGAGGGGAAGCCTGACTTTTTGAAGCAGCTGTGAATTGCCAAAGGAGTATCAGCTCTCCAAACCTTGTCAATCATGATCAAAGCTGTTAAAATAGAAATAGTAGTTACATTCCGCTGATTTTCGAGGTTATCCAAAACGCTTTTAACGACTTCACGCCGATAAAAAGTTTTAAAATTATGAATAATGCCCTGGTCGAATGACTGAAGTTTGGAGGGAAAAATTGAAGTTTCACATTTGAAAAAGGTGGTGCGTCCTTATGCACAGTACAGTTGTCTAAAAATAAGAGAATATGTCGTTTTTTTCTCTCTTTTCATATCTGAGTTCAGTGAGACCAACAATTCATTAAAGAGTTCGGTGGTCATCCATGCCTTCTTGTTTGAGCGGTATTTGGTAGGGAACGAGTTTATGACCTTAAAACACCGAGGTTTTGTAGATTTTCCTATGACGAGAGGTGTAATCTTTTCTGAGCCGTCCATGTTTACAGCCAGTAAAATAGTTAACCTTTACTTGCTATGTTTTCCTCTATGGAATTTTTCTTTTTTGAATGTAAATGCTTTTTCTGGCAAACACTTGAAAAAGAGTCCGGTTTCATCCGTGTTGAAAATGTTACGTGATTCGTACTCCTTTATTAGATCCGAAAGCGAGTTCTGCCGCTTAGAACAAACGTTAATGTCGACACTTAAGCTTTCCCTGCACATTTTTTGAAGACTATCCCATTCCTTTTCTTAAAATTTGTAAGTCATCCCTCGCTAGCCGAAAACTGGATTCCTAATACTTTGGCGAATGCTTTAGCCTTTTCCTTCAATAAAGAGCTACCCATCGGAATATTCTGTCCTCGACACTGTCTCATCCATGAAACTAAATACTGTTCAAGACGTAAAAATTACCTTTACTAACGCGTTTTCTCACTCTTACTCGAAGATGCACTAAAGATTTTCTCTTTATTCTTCAGAATAGTGGAGAGCGAGTTTTCAGTGCAATTTCAAATGCTTTGGCTACATCGACCTTCCTCTCACCTTCTTCAACTGATTCTGTCACCTTTTGCGTTTCAGAAATTGTTAAGCACTTGTACTTTTTAAAAGGAGACATGTCGTTCCTTTCGTGTGATAAGTCGACACTGAGATGAGGTGTAAAGTAGTGGCCCAAGGTTTATCGAAATTAACAGGTAGGAAACGTAAAGCACCACAACTTAAGTAAAATAAATATTTTTAATTTAAAATTTGGAATCTAAAATGAACATAAGGCGTATTCACAGCTCACACTCAGCTACGGGGTATACTTAATAGCAGGGGTCGACAACCATGGCCCGTGGAGCAATTCTTAGTGGCACATTACCGCTCTTTTTTAAAAAAATAATAGAATAAAGTTGAATCGAGTCTCTGCTGTCTTTGCCTCGTACATTTTTATATAAAGGTTTTATTTCTCGCTTTCAATTCTCCGCCATAAAACGATTCTGTTGAATTATCTTGGATGTAGTTTGAGTGATTTATTTAAAAAAAAAACATCTGTTTACATGTGACTCATTATTAGTAATAAATACTCAACGCAAATCAAAATTATTGTGCAATACTTGTAAAAGAAAGCATCACTCATTACTGTACAGAGAATAAAAAAGAAGGCAGTTTTTCCTTTATCCATCTAAAGCTTGGGCATCAAAGAAAAAGAAAAAAAAAAACAGATGGCTTAGGAATAAATCAAAATTCTGATTAGAAAATACCGGAAATATAATAAACGAAGTAGTTATTCTATCAACATGCACAATTTGGACTGAAAATAAGTTCAGTAAAAAAACTGCTCGAGGGATAATTAGGTACAGGAAGTGAATCTAACTTCCTAATATTGCAGGTTCGAATTATCGAGAGTTTTCTAGGATAACTTCGAATTATCGCGTGTTGTATGGCCAACCACAAATTTTACTTCGAAATATTGAGAGTACCAAAACGTATGGTTTTAGTTCGAAATATCAAGAGTTTTTCTAGGGGCTGAGCATATACTTCGAATTAGCGAGAGGTTCGTATTATCGAAAGTTCGAATTATCGCGAGTCGACTGTATATATATAGAGAGAGAGAGAGGAAGAGTGTGTGTGTCATTTGATAAACTTGAATTACAGAGACGTATCATAAATAAGTAGAAAGCTCCCTCAAACGAGAACTTAGTAAAAGTACTTTTTTTGCATAAGTAATTTTTCAGACTTCTTTGGTGAGTGAGTGAGTGAAGATTAACGTCGCACTGTTCAGCTACACGAGGGCTTTTGGCGACGGACCACGTAATTTTGAACCATGGTCAAGTGACGTGGACGACACCTGAGCTGGCACCCCCCTCTCCTAACTACCACACCACACCAACGGGAGGACGTTTCAGCTCTCGACAGATTTAGCGTGCATCGCTGCCCTACACGGCGGGTCTTTAGTGGTACTGGGCTCGAACTCGTGACAAAGCCAGCCACGATCCGATGCCTATACCACTCGGCTACCGCGGCCGCCCAGACTTCTTTGGAGTGGTTACCTTACAAACCGAGGGGGAGGGGAAATCCCTTCGAATGCAAATTCGTATGTATAAAACGTTTTTAAGCAAATTTCAAGTTCGCTCTAGATTAGTGATTCCGACCTTGCAAGGGGTTCACGTGAGGGCAAAAATAATTCTCGGGTCCATGAGATGCAGTGGCGTAAGGGAGAAGATTAGGGCTCTCCTGCGAAATCAGGTTTTTGGCCCCAAGCAAAATCTTACAAAGGACACATACTTAGCATCAGTCAGGCTTTGGTCCCCTAAAATCCTACCCCCCGTGATGCGGAGGTGTACGTTGCGCCACTGATGAGGTGTAAATGGGGGTCTATGTGATAGAGACTCTCATTAAACCAGATCGCTACTTTAATTTTAAAAGAAAATTGAATCAAGTGGAAACTAGATTTTTTACCTATTTAAAAGATTTATTTACTAAATTTAATGAGGTTAATTTGAAGTTATATAAGGTGACAGCATAAATTTTATTAAAACATGTACTATTTCAGTGTTTCTTTCTAGAATTAAGCTAAAGCAGTATAACGTTGGAGGTCGTGAATTTTCTCAATTTGTCGTAGACAATCTGTCAGGACGTTTTAATCTACGTTCAGCATTTGAATGCCCTTTAGTTTGAGAATGCTTTGACTATGGTAATACCACAGGGAACAATAAATTCATATACTTAAATTGAAAAAAAAATTCATATTACATTAGGAACTGATCGAAATAGGCCTAACGAAAATCTTAAAGTAAAATTTAGAAACGGATACAAAAAAGTAATTTTGGCATTAAAAAGACATACTTCTTATTTGACCCGAATTATGGAATATCGTGAGAAAGTTTTTAATTGCTTTTCCTTATGAGGAGTTTAGACGCGGTTGACAATCCCCATAGCAAAAAAAGAAAGACAGAGAGAAAAATAAAGAAACTGGTCACTACTAACAGAGGATATATAGGATTAAACCCGACAAGATTAATACCAAATGTAGAAAATTTGTTATTGAAGCACAAAACTTACATCCCTCCCACATTAAAACCATTTGTTTGTTGTTCAGTTATTTTATGTATTAACTAAATTTTAATTTAATTAATTAACATATGCATCTTAAGTTTTAAACACTATACTTCCCTAAAGTTAAAAATTTAATTCTTTTAAAGTAAGTAGTGCTCCCCATACTAACTGTCAAAAAGACGTTTAAGTTGATAAATTTGTAAGAATTCAATATCAGGTAAGCAGATATCTATCCGAAAAACATGGCAAGGGGTCTATGAGACCAAAATGTTTCGGAACCTCTGCTCTAGATTAAACAGGAATACTTTTGATGTGCTTACAATTTGAATCATTAAAAAAAAAGTCTTATGTATGTATGTTAGAAGAAACAATTGATTGACTCAATGCGTGGGAAGAAGCTGTTCCCAAGTCAATCCTCGGTAAGTGCTTTTTCCATTTGAATGTAAAGAAAAACATTTTCTGACACATCTTCGGGTGGGCGGTTCTTTCTTTCTCACATAGATGCGTGTCGTCGGATAAGATCACAAGTTATCATTAATTGCGCCAACTTTTAGTAAAATTTTGCTTTTAATAAGAGTTTGAATTTTTAAAGGCATTTTGCTTGTAAAAATATTAGG